GGGTAAGGTCTGCGTACAACTGACCCCCCAGACCCCAACCTGTTTGGGAATATATTGAGTTTGTTGATGTTGGGTATGTTGATGTTGATGATGATATATATATATATCTACACACACACATATATACAACTTATCGATCGCACCAAGGTAAAAAGAGTAATTATAAGATGTATACCATATCATCTCTTCCATCATGTCTTTTTTTTTCTCTCCTTTTAAAAAGGGGGATCAATACTGGTTCCCCAATTCCCCCGGGCGACTCGAACTCGGGACATGGTACACGCCGAGCGAAGGTACGCGCCACTGCGCTAACCCCTCTTCGTCCTCTTCCATCATGTCTTTCATCCACAATTTGGACAAGTTAATTAAACATTCTGTTTTTTTTTCCCCTATTGAGGTGGATGATTGAGGTGGATGCAGTGCAATTCCACGACATAAACTCCTTCCATATGTATCAACACATAGGAGCTGAACCCCAGGTCTACAAGTTCTTATGGGCTGGACCCGAGGTCTCTATTAACAGATGGTGTTGCACAAATAGCAACGATATATGTTAGTAAGATATCCCAAAAACTATGGTAAAAACTATTCTAGGAAAACAACACCCTTTGCAATAAAAAAGAATTCCAGATAACTACCTGTCTGGGACGCTGAACCAACCCCCGCTCTAATAGAGTAATAGGGCTTGAAAACATGTCTAGATAGCAAAACTAGAAAATGCATTTAGGTAACACAGAGCAGGACAAAGGGACAGAGGGTAGATAAACCCATGACTGTTAAAATAACGACGATGGAAATAACTGATATGCTGCCCGAAATTGTGCACACGGAACATGCATGACATGGGCCTTACCGTAAGAACTTCTGTCGTGACATCCATATCGAGAATGTCCAATTTGAATCATACTCCACTTCCAGTTTGAGGGCGGTATAAAAAACACGGTTGTCGTTTCACATCTCTCCCCCCTTTCTCTCGAGTCTTGAACCAAGAAAAATAATGTCATTTTATAATGAGTTTCATGTTCTTTAGTTGTAATTACTTTGATAATTCTACGACGATTATACAATGTTGAAACAATATATACCTGGTTTGCCGCCATTTAGAACAATGTTTTCCTCTGGCCCGAGCCCATATATCTGGAATAAAACCAAGCACAGTTAGGCAATACAGGCTAACACATTCACTTGGTCAAGTTTGATATAGTTACAAGAACGAACCTCAGGGTTCGACTTAACCACAAAAGGTCCAGTTATCATTCTATATTTCAAGTACCTCTTGACTTATTGCAATTGGTAAAACCAAAACATATATCGATTTTTTTGGGTAATCAAACTAAATTTTAAGTGAACTAATAATTTACTTACCACTGATATCAATTATATCGACATTAGGATTCTTGAATTTAAGATATTTTGTTCAACACCAGAAACTATGACGCCACCTCCGATCCCCATAAAAAAATGTCGACTTCACCGTTAGTGTTCTCCCATCTCTCGACCAGTTGTCTCAAAATGTACCTGCCATTCATTTCTCATTGTGTTAGATACAAATAAGCATGCAAAAGAAGTAAAATTAATTATAATAGAAAAATAAAAGTATATATTTTATAGCAAAGTAAACCGACACGAACAATTCTCTAATTTTCTTTGTTTTTTTGCAGAATACTGGCAGGGTCAAAAACTGTTGAAGCATAAAAGCGTTCGGTAGCCTTTTTAAAAGTGCCTCCCATTCTTTTATTGGGGTTAGTGACAATCAAATCGGCTCCGGAAGCTCTCATGGTCACCCGTCTTTAAGGCTCGTGTAAGACGGCATAATTAGCACCATCTTGTAACCTTTCATGGTCGCCATGTATGCCATGTTGATTCCCATGTTCCCTGATGTAGGGTCGATCAACGTCTTCTGATTAAAACCGGCAAATCAAACTTCATATTACCAAGCCAAAATATAAATGTTGGGAAAAAACAAGCCAGAATATAAATGTTACGAAAATAAATATATTAGGTTTACAATCAAAACCACTTTTTACAACTTATTCACTACACAGTCTATTTTGTTGGCATAGTTTCCAACACTGATCGACCGATAGTTTATGGCTTTATTCCAAGATAAATAGCTCTGAGGAATAAGAAGGTTGTGCTGAACAGGCAATGTGATATTGATCTTAAATATGAGAATCTACACAAAATAATTCCCAAGTTATGCCTATTATGGAGACTTGGACCCAATTAGTTAGATAACATGAAAGTGTCAAAGAGAGGTACAGGTCAATAATCAACATCACGTGGAATACTTTACACATGCACACACACACACACACAATGATATAAATGTCAGTAATTCTTTTTTCAAATAAAATGAAAGACTTATTATGTTTCTCTTTTCAGATATTTTGTACTCAAACTGTTGTCCCATTAACATCCTAAACCATGTCCAGTCCATCTCAAAGTTCAGTATTTTTCTCAGAGGCAGCAGATACCTTCTTTTTTCCTTTTTCGTTTTTGTTTTAAATATTTTCCCCGCCTCATATTTTAGTTTCAGTGAATCACACAACCGTATATTTTAGTTTCAGTGAATCACACAACCGTATCAAGTATCCAAGAGCGAAAACAAACAGGAACGTGTTAGTACCAAGAAGGAAATTATTAACTTCAAATCATCATAATCAAAATACTATATTGAACTGTCACAAAGTAAAAGTAATGTTAGATTTCAAGCAAGCAAAAGATAAACAACAAAATTTTTGGTTTCCTCATGAACCATGAACCAAACTTCTACATTGGGTCGCAAAAAGTACCTTAGACTACACCTGCTCGACTGCAAACCACCATCACCATAGTACTGCTTTGTAGTCACTTTAGCAAACTCATCAAGAGTCATTCCATCCTTTAAACGCCATAACAGATAAGGCATAATCTCACAATTTTTTAGAGCCACCCGATAAGATTTCTTGACACCCACCATATTCTCGGAAAGTGAGAAAAAAAGTTCTGCTCATCTGGCTGTAATAACAAAACAAAAATCTCCCGGCTCAAATTATCCATTTCCACAGGCCAATAAACAATGTAAATTTAACAAATAAAAAGCACATAAAATATTCTAGCTCACCCTGGTCAAACCTCCAATCCAGATTCAACATCATCGGTGAAGAAGTGCAGAGTTGGGAGTTACTTTGATCTACTTCGAAGCGATTGTCACGGTCATTGCCACCAGAGGAAGCGCCTCACTGAAGGTAATTAAAAAGGACGATGCTGCTCATCCTTGTCCTCCGCCGTTGCCGAGCTTCACTACTGGCGCGTCTTCGGAGAGGTCAGTGGTGCCCAAAAAAAGAATTCAAAACCTCTCCGCACAGCGTGAACACACCGCTCTCAGCTTTGAGTACACTTTCGCAGCAAGTGAGCCCAAGATCAAGCTACAGAGTGAGTCCATCGAAGCCTTAATATTCGCAAACGACCCCAGCATATGGAACTTCGTGTCCACAATCACAATCCTTGTCCTAGTGGCGTTTTCGATTGCAGATTTCGTCTCTCCGCCTTTTCCACTCAACCTCCCGATTGCCTAAGACAAACGCTATCCTCTCAGAGTCTTAATGTCCTTCATCTAAAGGACACCATGTACAACTCGTCCATCCTAAGAAGGGCCATGGAGTTAATCACGTCGAACCCTAGCATGAAATTGTGGGCAAAGTATGTACAATTCTGAAGTTTGCTGACATCAGGGGTGTCGGTCTGGGTTTTCAGCGCTACCCGATGATCCTTGAGGTTCATACAGATGCCGATCTTCACCTCCTCGTAGATCCGGGTGTAGATCTCGAGTACATGCCGAAGGATATGATTTTGCAACCAAATCTATTTCCTATTATGATACAATGAAATAGTTTAATAGGCAACTATGATGTTCGCACCAATACGAAATAGTTCGGCAAGATCATGAAACTGGCGATGAACATCACAATAAATTGTAATTGGGATTTTTCATACACCATCAAAGAAATCAATATAGCATCTTTAACTAACAATTAAACAAACAACTAAAACGCAGAACAAATTAGGAATGCTTAAATAAATAAATAATAAAATAAATATTCTTGATGAGATGGTTTATAAAAAAAATTCAAGTAGTAGAAAAATTTAGAGCGGTGAGCTAAAAAAAATACTATATTCATTAAAACTTGCCATAATTTAAATGTGGATCGCCTTCAACATGCCCAATAAACCTTCCCTGGTGAACATAATATTATTTCATCACTACATAGAAATGAGGTGAATTCAAATAGGTCATATAAATTAAATAATTGATGAGAAGTAGCCAAACTATTATATTGTTTAATCAACTGCAAATTTATAATATTAACAAAAGCTTGATAATTGAAAATGAAGATTTGTCCTATGTCCTACGTAGTAGAAAATAGAAATATTAGAGAACATAAATCATCCATGAAGATAACTTTATACTTTCAATAAAGCTTGATGGTTAACAATATCATATGTGGTAATAGCAAAAAAAAAAAAAA